GTGTGTGTGTGTGTGTGTGTGTGTGTGTGTGTGTGTGTGTGTGTGTGCGTGTGTGCGTGTGCCTGTGTGCGTGTATTAGTGTGCACTGTGTAATGTGTGGTCTGATAGTTAACATTGGGATTAAGACCTTCAGAGTTCATCTTGCCATCTGTTTGACTGACATGCCTGACAGAAGTGACGCGTTGTTTCAGAGGGCTCAGGCCACCATGGCAGGAAAGGCAAGTGGGCAGCTCGGTTCATGGCAGCGAGAGCACCTGGCATGTGACAGAGGCTGTCCATATCAAGGACCAGGAAACAGACCAAGACAGAAAGGTCAGACCAGCCACAACCAATGGCGCCCGAGTGACCAACTTCTATCATCTACATCCTTCCTTCCAAAGTCTCCAGAACATCCCAAAACAGCACCCAGCAGCCGGGAACCAAGACTTGAGCCTGAGGCATGAGTCAGATTCTGATCAATCCATGACTGTCATGTGGTCAACACGGAATAATGGTGGGCCTGGCGGACTCCGAGAAGCACTTGGCATGTCTCATCCACACGATCCTCAGACAACACAAAGAGGGAGATGTAGCATGACCACGGCCCTTAAAGGAAGAAACAGAAGTCTGTGGGGCAGGATTTGAACACGCAGTGCAGGCAGACACCAGAGATGGAAGTCTGGGGACAGAAGGCAATCAGACCAACTCTCTGAAGAGGTCCATGTACCAACTGACCTCTGGAACTAAGGAAAGTGGGCTCAGAGGAGAAAGGGCTGCTTCAGGATACCGTGAGAGAGCGGTAAGAATCCTGAGATGGAGGACTCAGAAGGGCTGGGGTCACCGCTTGTCCAAACACTGGCCCTTGAAAGGGAAGTAGAGAGCTCTCACGCTGCAAGGAAGCAGTGTGGGCACCGAGGGACTGAAGTGATGGCATATGAACCACAGAACATCTAACCAGGAGTCAGAGAGGCAGAGCCACCTGTGGAGCACAGCCCACCTGGCCCTCTCAGCTAAGGGATTGCTGTCCTCACAGGGATTTCTGGAGGCTGGGAAATCTTGCTTGCTCTATGTTCCAATGTGTGTCAGGGTGCACAAGAAGCTCATACACACAGCCAGCCATGGGCAGCTTTGCAGGATTTACCAGCAGAAAAAAAAGCCCCACTCCCTCTGGGAGCCAGAGGCCTCCTGCTCTGGAAGACCTGCTCTCAAGGCTCGCAACAGCCTGGGCTCTTCATCTGGGCTGTCCTACTTCCCACATCTCAGTTAGTAGTGGCTGCTCTGCCCATGACCTCACCTGTGACACCAACACCACAGTGAGAGCTAGGCTGCCTGCCTGGAGGAAACTGCCCCAGGGAGAACTTTAAGTGCCCTAGGAGAAGCTCACTGCCCCAGGGAGGACCTCACTGCCCCAGGGTAGACTTCTGGGTGTGACTTTCCCCTCTCCTCCTCTCAGGTCCAGGCAGTCTGAGTAAACAGTGAGAGTTATCACAATAGGATACACTCACCCCGTCAAACCCCAGCCAAACACAAGCACATAAAGCCTGCAGGTCGTTGCTTTTAGTTGGACGTCATTACTGAGATGAAATGTTTGTGGAAGCAACTTGGAAGACAGGAACGTGGGGACCCTTACATGGGAAAGAAGTCCTCGCCCAGAGATATAGTTCTCATTCCTTTAAGAAACTTCAAAACAGCCTGGGAAGAGGTCAAGTGAGCATGAAGACCTGAGTTTCATTTTCAAGACCACATTAAAAGATCTAGGCACAGGAGAGTCAGGAGCAGGAGAATCCTGACCAGCCAGCCTAGCCTACTTAGTGAGCTCCAGGCTAGTGAGAGACCCTGGTAATGACAGAAGAGGTTGTCCCCTGGTAAACACATACACACACACACACACACACACACACACACGAGCAAACCCATGCATGAACACAACTTCAAAACAACTAATAAAATCTAAATTGCCTAGAGAGGTAATGTGTGTTTCTCTACAGACAGGTCAGACACGGATGTTACAAACAAGAAATGATCCGTGTTTCCTGTGGTTCAGGATACTGGTGACCTCCAGTTTCACTGCATTAGCTTTTCTGTTTGTCCCTAAACCCAAGCAGTGTGCCTCATAAATCACCCCAAAGTTTCATTTACAAACGGAAGAGAAGAGAAAACGAACCAGCGTGTGTGCCTTACTTAATTTTTAAAGGTTGTTCAACTGTTATACTTTGCTGTACACTGCACCAAAATATACCGTGTACGCTACAGGAAAATGACAGAAGGCTTCGGGACTGAGGGTTGGGGAGAGGCTTGGGGGATGAGGCGATTGCTGCTCAAATGTGAGGACCTGCGTTCAATCCCCCACACGCATGTTTTTAAAATCCTGACACTGGGAAGGCGACACCAGGCAGATCCTTAGGGCTCCCCAACCAGCCAGCCTAATTCAGTGAGTCATAGGCCAGAGAGAGACCCTGTATTAAAAACAAAAACAAAACAAAATACAGTGGATGCCACATGAGGAGCAACACGTAACGAGGTCTCACACACACACGCACACACGCAACCACACACAAGTGAGTATGTACACACAAAGAAGGCCACAGGATCATACATAACAGCCATCATGTACACACCTAAAGAAACTCTGGGGCCCCTCACAATGCCCAAGGCCTCTCTCCGTCTAAATGATTCATAAACACTTAACGTTTACTCCGGCTCAGCCTGAACTGCTTTTCTGTGCCGGCGTGGAGAATCAGGCTTCACTCAACCGGAGGTCTCTAAAAT